TACACCGTTTGAATTTAATTGAAGGCGGAATTTGAGTTGTGAGATTATGTATACTATACTAAGATACGCGGAATATGAATGAGAGAAATTTATTTGCAGATAATCAAGCATGAAGAAGAGAAATTTAATAACCGTGAGTCAACTTCGCTGTTCTTAGAACGACAAAATTTCTTAGAAAATCACAATTCTGTGATATACAAGAATCGTGATTTAATAAAAAGTACTTTGTATACTTAATAATGTTATATGAAAAATAATGGAACTTAATAACACCTACTAAAAGGATTGAATCTCTGTAGCTCTGAAAATTCTCTCAAATACTTGAAGTTATTTTTTGCAACTTTGATACCTTTGAAAGCTTACGGCTGCACTATATACAAACTCATTCTATAGTACAACAGTATTTATTTTATCTTTTTGAGGATACTTAAAAGTAAAAAATATCATTTTTCTCCCTCTATATAAATAATTTTAATCCAGAATATATAGAGAATAAATGAATGATATATAAAATTATAAAAAATTTATTTTCAATATTATCTAATTTTGTATAACATTTTATGTATATTTTAACTATGATTGAAAAATATTAAAAATGCATAAAAAGAACGAGTTTAAAAATATGTTTCAAACTAAATAAAATATATAGTCATAAAAATATATAGGTATTGAAAATAATGTACAATTTAAAAAAAATTTTTACATATTTTTCAGATATATTTTAAATGCATCTCAACTGTAGTTAAAATATATACGAAGTTTTAGTTTTTAAAATAGATAAAACATTAACCAGAAAAGATTCGAGTCTAGAATTGAGTACATAAGCAGTATCTGCGAGAGTGAATTTAAATAAAGAATCGACAATATTAGATACTAAAAATATCTAAAGGTACTTACAGAATGAAATTAATAAAAAAGTACTATTTTATTAAAAAAGCATATAATATGTATATATGCAGCGACTTTATCCAATTTAATTTCAGCAAATTTATTTAAGTATTTTTTCCGAGTCATGTGACAATAAAATAAATAATATTTATAATAAATTATATTCTCAACAACACAGCATTCTAACAAATATATCCTCCAACTTAACCGTAGCCGAAATCCGTCAGAATTTATACAGACATACATAAACACGAATTTCTTAAAGCTAAATTCAGTAGTAAAGTGAGAGTGTAAGTAAGCTTTTCCTCTACAATGTCAGCGTTAAAAGGTGTATTTTCAACACCTGAACCCCTTGAACCTCAGCCAGCAGCACGTAAGCTCTGCTGGATAACCGCGAAAACTAACCGAGAGAATTTATGAATCTATGCATACGTAATAGGACATACGACTTTGTGCATAGAGACCGCACCACACGGATGTTATCATCGGTATAAATGCCGTTTTCTCAAATAGCCCAAGGCCATACCTATCGGATAAGGAGATAAGAAAAACCTATTTCCATACCCACATATAATTCTCTCTCACATTTGTACATATTCTTTCATAAAAATACAATTTTACCCGACATAACAAAATAAAAGTCCGAAAAACTTTACCAAAACAAACAAATAAACAAAAATAATTCAATATAAAACAAAATATAACCAGCGAAAAGAAAAACAATTTTAATTTATACAAAGTGTTAATACGAACAAACATAAGAAATCTCGGTAACGTGTCTGGTGTCATTTCAGACTGGCGTTCATGGGCTTCCATGGGCAGCACACGCTGCACAAAGTTGTCTTCTGGTTCTTCTTCTTCTTCGTCTTGTAGTTTGTCGTCGAATAATGCTGTAGTATAAAGTAAAAGGCGTGTGTGTCGCGAGTGTACAAAGATGCACACTGAAACGGTGTAATCTACCCAGTGTAGCATAGCACAGAGGTGCCATGTCGTTACTTCCCGTCTTAGTTTTCCCGCTTCCATATTACCTACCGTGTTCTGTCTGTGCACTACATATTATTACTGGCATGGACATACACACACATACACACATAAATACATGAATATGTAGAATGAACACGAGAGTGTAGAGCACAAAGGTGGTAGATGGAGGCTGGTAGTTGTATCTCCTCGACTCCTCGTCGCCTACGAGTGTCTTCTGCGTGAGAAGCGTCGACACGCGAATCACGTTGCACACCCAAGACAACTTAGTACCTCAGCAAGAAAACTTACCGGCGTCTTGTGCACTCCCCCGTCAAATATACACAAAGCGTGTACCTACGTTTTACAGCTCAACTGTGTGTATATATATTTTGTACATGTATGGGCTCAAAGACGACGTATATACTTGAAAAGTCTGCGCTACATGGGGACGACAGCAAGGAAGCGGTAATGGTTTAAGTTTCGAGGTCGACACCTCGACATCTTCTACTCCTACTCTTACTTCTATTTCTTCATCATCATCATCATCATCTTCTTCTTCTTCTTCTTCTCTTTTACTATTATTTCTTCTTGTTCTTGTTCTTCTTCTTCTTCTTCTCGGCAACCAGACCACACGATGATTTTTTCAAGCACCCGCGGTTTGGTCTTCGTTGAAATATTGTAATTAAAATAGTTCTGTTCATACTTTACCTTTACGAGCTCTATAATAATGCCTATATATATTTATACAGAGTGACAAAGAGTTTAAAGAAAATAAAAACAAAAAATTAAACAAAAGAACAAAGAGATTGAGAGAGACTGGACGGTAAAGTAGTTGGGTACGATCTCATTGTTAATTTGTCACGAGCAAAACTATATATAAATATCTAAATATATAGATATATAAAGATGTGGATTTTTGAAAGTTGTTTTATTTTATCATCGCACTTTTGCTGGAGCTACCTCATCCGTGATGAATATTCATCCCTTGTCGGTGTACGAGGACGGTTAGAATGACGAGGCGAACCAGTACGAGAGACGAATGGAATGGACCTCAAACACATTCACACACCCATCCACCCATCCACACAGACAGAAACACCCCAGCGCCTGAGTTAGTCTCAACTCTTTTATATCTTGAGTCGCCAATTTAAAATGCGATAATCTTTTATCTTTTGTACGTAAATAGTACGTGTTGCAATGGAATTTTAATTAAATTAATACTCTACAAAATTTAATTAATTTACTGTCGCTTTTTTTTAGTTTTAGTTTACTTCTGAGGGGCGTTTTTCTCCTTTTTTTTTGTTGTTATCAAACAGCGCCGTTAACACGTTCAAAATAAATATTTGCCTCGGAAATAATTTAAGTTATTACCAACGGAGATTTTCCTCGAGCCATTCTGACCACTTTACGCGCTCACTGCAGAGCACCGTGGCAATTATGAGCATCTGGTGCGCACACAAAATTCACGTATTTAGCTGTCATCAACGAGTTTTCCGGTAATTTTAAGATCTTATAAGATCGAGTTAAACTTCTCTTCAGCCGAGTTATTTTTTTTTTTTTATTAAAAAAATATAATTGTCTGATAAAAAGACATCTCGAGTAGAAACAAAACTCCGGTCTTATTTGCTTCAGAGACTTGTGAGACTTGTTTGACTACCTCTTATGCATAAGATTAAATTTATGTATATATAAAAAGCAATAAATTAATTTATCTTCCGTGGTTTCTCATCTGCGTTATAGACTTTACCTATCTAACATACAGCTGCAGACCATTAAATGACTTCACACTGATAAAACATGCTCCCACGCAATGCAACTGACGTTCGAAGAACCGATTTAAAGCTTATTAATAGGCGTGATTTACATTACAATACACTTTGTTAAAACAAAATACTATTGATTATTAATTACTGGTGTGAAGCATCTGAAAATGATAAACAATAACCGATGATTCAGTTAAATACAATCGTGTAATTCCAGACATTGTGTCGTGTACGTTTCTAAAGTTCTCACAGCGTGGAAAATTAATTGGCAAGATTGAGAGCGTGACGCAGGGTTTCGGCAGGCTGGTTCTATGGGTATGGTACCCCCCAAAGTGCTACAGTAAAATTATATATAACCGCTTGGTAGTGATTCTCCTCGAGAATTAAACTATATACCAGCAAACTGGCGGAAACTTTGGCCCATCGTGCACAACCTCTTATTCTCTCATCCTCAATAGTCCCCTTTATGCATCTCCCTCTTCATTTTCTCGTCCTTGTACCATCACAATACTCAGCAATATAATCCTCAGGGTTCATGTTTCTCATAGCAACTCTGTTGCAGATAACTGTCTGTGTTTCAGATATATCTGCGCAGTACATGTACTTAGCACAATACTAGAACAATAATTTTCCGAACAAATTTAGCTCTAAAAACTTAGCATTCAAAGTCATTCGGACTTGCTAACAAGTTTATAGGACTGTGGACTAACTCTATATTAATACTAATACCGAGACTTAAACTCAAACAATCTCCGAGAATTTATTGTTCTCTATCTTAGCAAGAGTGTGTGACTCGAAAACTTGAATAACCGAGGCTCGCACGTACAGATTGTTGCAATAGCCCAGCTGGTCGAACATGAAACTCAACAACTGCTGAGTCATTCCTTGTTTACTACATCTAATATTGCAATTTGAGGGATATCATTTATAGCTTTCTCCAATTCGAGATTGCTGTAAAATAAAGTCACGAATAAAAAAGTTGGGACAAGAAAAAAGGGTGGTCAAAAAAAAAATAACCGAAAGAGTTAAGAGCTGATCGAGGCAAGAGTTTCATCTTGACGATGGACGTCTAACATCAAAAGTTACGACGTGGTTTATCCGTTTCGCACGATCGCACCTACTACTCTCAGCTACTAGCTCCTGGTACTGTACTGATGCACCCGCCACCAGGCTGCATGTTAAATATTTTACAACCCTGAGATTAGTCTAAATTTAATGACTTTATACTGAAATAATTATCTGTAATGTTTATCGGTTTAAATTGTGATAAAAAGTATCAGACTTCCGAAGATTTTAAATAAAAAAAAAATTAAAGCAAAAATTTTAAAAAGATGTGTACATATTTAAATCGATTCGATAATAGTTTGATGTCTGCCATTTTTATTTCTAGTATAATTTTAAATTACCAGTAATGTGTGGTGGCATAACAGCAATCCATTTAAGACCGCTTTCTTTGATAGCGTCAAACATACGTTGATGGTCGGCATTTATGTCAAGAAACTGTTTGGGGACTTTATCCAAATCCCAGAATAAAAACGAAGATAAGCAAACAGATACACGTTCAACATTATTTTTTTTCATAGCACGTATTATGTTCTTCAATCCATCAGACATTTCAGTTGTAGGCTCTAAAATCATAAATTTATAATTAATAAAATAACTAAACTACTAATAGAAAAAAAATTAACTAAATTTTTAAATTACTTAGATCATTTCTCGTTCCTAGTACAACAACGACTCCTTCCTGATTAGCAATTGATGGTTCAACCTGTTCGTAGTTGGTGACATTCCCAACAATGGCCTTGACTTTTCCCTTAAGGTGTTCCGGAATTTTGGCTTCGTCTCTTACGAAGACAGTTACGTCATAGCCTATAAAATATTAAGCAATTATTGATAATTATGTGACAAGTATGTTGATAAAAATTATTTATAAAATGATGACATTAAAGTTAGCAGTCACTTGAACATTTTTTTATTTTTGTTTATAAATAAATTTGTTCCAGAAAATTATTTTTAAAAAATAGCACATTTAATTTTTTTAAATTTCTACATGTCATATTTTTTTTCATAACTTTTTTGCCATAATTTATTTGTTAAAAAAATTCTTAAAATTATTAAATGTCAGCTAAATTAATTTTCATATAAAATGACCTATTAACTTAAAAATATTACCTTTATTAACAGCGTGCTCTAAAGCACACAGGCCAGTCATGCCGGTAGAGCCGAAAATTATAACCTTTTTCATGGTCACGGAGGTGTTTTTTTTTTTTTTTAGTTGCTGAGAGAACGTTCCTTGAAGACACTCGAACAGAGACTGGAATACTTATTCGGCGATAATGAAAACCAAGCTATGAATGAATTTTTATTATTTTATTTCAGTACGTCAATTTGATAAAGATACTGATACAGAATTGATAAGAATTGAGGATTTAATTGGAAAGTATTGCGCCTATACGTACTAGCGTCTATAAATCTTGATAACGAATGACAAACAGCTGAGTCATCTAAGAATAATTTAATTGCCGGTATGTTCTCCTACGCTAGATTGATAATTAACATAGAATCCATGCTTACATTATATTATATCACGTTTTCATAACTTGTTTTTCTATTCTTGTTTAATTTCTTCAATTGGAAGCGAGATCTATAGGAAGTTGAATATTACTGTTGTTATGTTCTTGTGCTTACTGGACTTTAAAAATTTAGAGTTTAAAAATTTGTGTTACTGAAACTTCAGTTTTTTTTTTTGGAATTTTAAAATTTATAAAATTAATTATTAAAAATTATATTTTATATTTGCATTCATAACTTCTTTTAATATGTTAAGATTAAAGCGCACGCGCACAGCGGGCAATTTAAATTTCTAAAGTAAAGAATAAATCAACTTTTTAGAAATGATTTAACATTATTGTAATGGATGATATTGAAATATAACTTAGATGCTTATGTAAATAAAAAGTATTGATTTTATGAAAGTAGAATTTTTAATAAAATTGAAATTGGAATTTTTTAAATTTGACAAAAAAAAATGTATATTCCATAAAAAAAATTAAATTTTAATTAAAAGTCAATTAAGAAAATTTAATTGGAAAGAAAAAATTTAACATTTCATTATTTGAATAAGAAGCAATTTAAAAATAACCGTTACAAAAAATTTACCCGCGCTTTCACGGCGGCTAATCAGCGTCGTCCTTTTCCGAACGAGGCTTTCTGCACATAGAGGTACGCAGACGCCATTTGCATTCAGTCCAACGCTGACGAACTGACAATCCACGGCCTGTCGGTGTTATTTTGTATTTGTTTTTTTACTATTTTTTACTTACTTATTGAAGTTGAATTATCAACACAAGTATTTTTATCACATCAACAAATAACAATTTATATTTAAAATAACCTGATAATTATTATTATTGTAAATTCATTACTTTTGCTTTGTCATGTCGTCCGGGATGATACCTCTCTAATGATTTTTTCTCGCATATTCTATACACTCACATTAAGATGATCCTCTCCACAATCCTTTCTCAATCCTTTCCTACCAATTATCCTGTTACGTAAATGTTGGAACGCTTCACGTAATAAATTATCCGTAACTCCTATTCTTTCCCGCTTCACAGCATTATTTATATTTGGGACATTATATAGATCCTATAACATTAACTAAGTATGGAAAAAACGAAAAAAAAAATTTTTTTTTGTTATACGCTCTTATGGTTTTAAGAAAACATTTTTCTAAAGTCATAAGGGTGTATCTTGTTTTTTCGGTTAATTATCAATTATAGGTCAGAGTAAGAAAAAAAATTGCAAAGGTAATAGAAATTATCACTCCACAAGTTAATTTATATCAACAAATATTTATTTAAGTAAAAAAACAAATGAAAAATTAAGAAAAAATAAATTTATAACAACGTGAGAACAAGCGGTATTGGTATGTCTTCAAGTTAATAAATTTAGCCTCAAAGTTTTTCTAAATTGATTTTTTTTTTTACTTCAGATGTATTTAAAATTAACAAAAGAGTTTTGTAGACCATTTAGAACTGTAATTTTAAAAAAGTCATTCAAAAAGAACTTTGTTCCTGAGAATGGTTATGATTCTTTAATACCAATATCTTGAAGCAAGTTTTTTTTTTTGATAAATTTTTACTTATTTTGCAAAATGTTGAAAAAATCAATTGTAAAGGCCTTTCATTGTTAATAAAATGTGACCAAAGTATCCCACTACGATCCCTAGTGAAAAAAATTATATATAATTTTATATGCTTATATATAAATCATCTTATTTAAGGAGTGAGCTGTTAAAATTTCAAGGCGATCCGAATATTTTCCCGATAGTTAAATCATTTCTTTATAAAACTAGGCTTAAATTTGAATTGTTTATAATTTTTCTGCTATTAGTCGGACGTGGATGTTTTAAAATATATAGATGAATGTCTTTGAAGTTTGCCGTTAGTCACAACTTGCAAATAATTAGCTATGATTCCTTATTGGTCAAACGGGAAACTTTACTTACTATTGTTCAAGCCTAAGAATGTCGACATATATATCGATATGTATCGATATGTATCAAATAATAAAATCACTAAACAATGTATTACATTAATTTATAAAGCTTAGATTAGGAAGCATGTGGATGGGCACTGAAAATTTCTAATTTAAAGAAAATCATTACCGTTTTTTTTTTAAGCTCTACAATTCATTTCTGCACCTTGAAAATCTAAAATCAATTAGCTCGGAAGAAGAATTTATTTAATTAGCATTTTTTCAATTGCCTATTATTAATTAACAAATAGTGATCGTCATTCAGTTTGTTCTGAAATTTTATAATATTCTGTTGAACTATCTAGAAACAACCTCCCGAGTACAATTGAAGGTAATGTTATTTAATCGAGTAAACCCACGTAAAATTGACTATCTTTTTTGGACCATTCGACTGATTTTTTACGTTAACTAGTATTTGGAAAATTTAACAAAGAAGGTTTGCTTTTTATTTTACTATGTACTATGTATATAACAGCAGGTCAAATTGTTAGGAACTACTTTGCCTATCTTATGTTTCAATTCAAATAAGATAAATAATGTTCTGTAGCTGCATCGTGCAATCTGGATCAGTGGTAGCGCGCAGAACTGGCAACTAGAAGGACCCGAGTTCAAATCCCGTCGACCCTCAGAATTTTTCATCAGATAGATAATCGCAAATATTCTGTGAGGTCCAATTCCTACTTATTTTTAATTTAAAAATTAAAAAAAATTTTTTATATAATTAAAAAAAATAATAAATTTTTTTTATATAATTATATATAATTATATATGGCCAAAACTCATACATAATTATATATAATGATTTATATATAATTATATAAAATTATATATAATTTTTTTTCCCCGGGTATATATATAGATATATTTTAACATTGAATAAAATTTTACCTTGAATTGAAAAAATAGCCCTAAACCTCCCTTAAACGTTTCGAAACAGCTGGCGTGTACAAGTACATTTATCTAGTTTTTAATTAGATATTATGGATTTTTCTTAATCAATTTATTAAATATGCATTAAACTCATTATAATGTTGATAAAATATCTATAAACGATTGTTTTTCTAAATCAAATGAAAATTTATAAAATATGTGCCTTATTGTTTACATATTAGGAATTATTATCTTGCTTATTATTTTTATTTTTTGTTGAATTGTCCGTCGAAACACTATCGGTGAATTTAAAATAGGAATAGAATTAAATACAAAATAATTAGATCTAATATAAAAAATAATTTTTTATTAATGTGCCACATGACTACCATAACCTATACTGTACGGTATTTAAAAAATAATTAGGTATCTACAAACTAATTCCAATTAAAAATTACTCTTCTAAATAAATAACTATCAAACAGATTATAAGTAATAATTAATTTTTGTATCAATTTTAAAAGAAATAATCAATGCATAAATTGTTAAAAGAATTTATTGATCATTTATTAAACATTTATAATTATTGTATCGCTGTATCATTATTTATCATTAAAAAAAAATATTCACATTCAATATTCCAATAATTAAGTAAATTCAATTAAAGAAAAATAATCAATTAGTCACTATATATATATATAGATAGATATATATAGATATATATATATATATATATAGATTAACTGATAATAATGGTAGAGTCAAGGTGGCTTTATTCTGCACAAAATCTAGAGTCGCACCGATAAAAACATTTCAAACCATTCCGAAATTAGAATTGTGTGCCGCCTTATTATCAGTTAATTTGTTTAGAAAATGATTTTTCAAGCATCCTGCATAGAAAGCCTTTCCATATTTATTTAATAATTATGTAAGAAACCTACCTCCAAAGCATTATTAACTTTTGAATTTTATCGCGCGTTTTAAATAAACGCGAAATGGTTTAATTTGAGGGTGTTAGAAAGTAGGGACCAGCTGCTATTAGTCGATCCTATAAGGACATCCTACTAATGTTTTCAGATATTTATAACAACGAAAGTGCATCGATATAAATGTCAGAGACGGTTGGAATCCTAGTGCGTTTATCTGAAACGCGCAGTAATATAATTTTTCCTCAGATTCTTTGAAATAATGGGGAGAGGGGTGGGGGGGGGGGAGCTATTAAAAGCTTTCTGCATACGCTGCCTGTGAATTGAAATAATTGAGATAAAGTAGGAAATTTTATTTCATTTTGCCTGCCGAATGAGCTTTATTTTCGTGTCGATATTGGTGTATAAGATTGTGGGAAACCGGTTTCTCGATGAATTTAAACTTAAGTCTAACTAATCAATTTGATCATCATTTTTTACTCTTTTTTAGTGACACCAGAAACTTGATCCTGAGTATCACAAATAAAATATCTAACGATTAGTTTTAATGTAATATAGGATATCAGTTATAAGTCGATGGTAGCTACCAAAATACACGATTTCGTATTTACGAAAAGACATTAGCATGATAGTACGGGTAATATAAAATACATTAAATTGTGTATCGATGGAAGCTTATTTTTCGCGAAGATTTCATGAAATTTGCTTTTTTTTATAAAGAACGTAAGAGTTTTTATTCAAATTGAGAACTCAATCATGAATACCATTTTATTTGTTATTTATAATATTTATATTATTTGATAGGTTTTTTCTATATGTAGAAATTTCTAACAAATTTGTTTCAATAACGGATAAAAATAACTGCTCGTGTTAAAGAGAATCATATTAGTTTGGAATAGTATAGCAGATGCTACACAATTTTCTGATCAACCTCAATAGCCATAACTCAATCTGAAATGATACCATAGAATTCGTTAATTGAGACCAAAAAGAACATCTAGCCTCTTGTAAAAAATATAAAATAATTTCAGGAAACAATGTGGATGAATAATAATATGAGATGATATGATAAAGATTATAAAAACGAACACATTATCGAATTTGATATAATTAATTTTTGTTAACGATAAGGTGTGATTATCAATAAAGTTTTAATTAATGGCAAATGACCATTATTACACAATAAGAGCAGCAGATAAAAAAAATTCCTTATTATTGAGTACGCATTACTTTTATTGGTAGTCTATCTATAAAATTTATCGAATTAATGATCCAATTAAAGAGACTGTCACCACTTTATCGAATCAAATAATAAATTATTGTCTTATGTCAAGCACATTTCTGTTCTTTTTTGTAGATTTTATAGAAATCTAACTATTGCATTAGTCCTCATGACGAACTTTTAGAAAAATTTTCATGACCCCTTACTCAGCTCGTCGAGTTGAGTCAGAAAATATAATTGGTTCAAAAGTTTATATGTATATATATATATATATATATATATATATATACTAGCCGTTTTCTGCCCGCTTCGCTGGGCGAATTGAATAAGGGAATAAATTAAATCTTATGTTTCATTTTTAATTTTTTTTTTCATATTTTTATTGTTCTCCTTTTTTTTTTATTTCTGTGTGAATATAAATATGCCCCACGGATAGAACTGTAAGCATCGATATTGTTTAGATTTGCACAAATTCCAAATTCCATCGAGTTAGCCTGTATCTTTCATCCATGTGATTTTTCTAGCTAATATTCATTGTAACTTTCAGTGTGCAATCATTATAAGATTTTCGTGGCTTTCTTCCAAAAATTAATAATGATTGACACGAAGAAAAAAATTTTAAATGAGCATTGAAAATTTTAGTTAAAGTCATTGCAAGTCTCATATGTGAAGTTGAAATCTGCCTAGGTTCAAGTGCGACGAATATTCTGTTAACTAAGATTTCCTCCGTGACATCAATTTTTTATAGTAAATTAATTGTTCATGTTTTTTATGAATTCTATTGAAATAAGTAGCTAAATTTCTTTTTCACATCTCAAGTGCTTGGAAAATGCATTCAATTTAATCTGTTACATTTTCGCGATCCCGCAATAAAAGAATTCATCGGTTATGTGATCTGCAAAAGTAAAATGAATGTAAAATTCTTAGTCCGTTGATTGGATAGCTACATGTAAAGTTAAGTTTTGGAAACTTCTCAATGACTTTTTTCCGCTGCCAAAGAGACGATTGTTGTAAGAAAATACACGAATATCCCCACATACACGAAGATTCTCACCAAATTTGGAGTCTGTAGAAATTACAGGTTGGAAATTAAAATTTTAGATTTTAACACCCACCCCCGCAATTCCTGTCAGAAGTAGACTTTATTGAAATTCATTTTGAGATGATCTTTACATGAATAATAAAAGATTCCTACCATATTTAAAATTTTTAGAAGATATATTTTGAAATTAAAATTTTTTATTAACACCTACCTTTTGGAGTCTATAGGAGCTATAGTTTGGAAATTGAAAATTTTCATTGTTAACGCCCCCGCAATCTTCTTTGGGGTGGGATATCGTAAAATTCGCTCATAAATCATTTTTACATCACTTATAGAAAATTCCTACAAAATTTGGTGCCTGTAGGAGCTTTAGCTGGAAAATAAAAAATTTTAATTCTTAATACCCGACCCCGCAACCCCCTGTGGGGTGAGCTATCGTAAAATTCGTTCATAGACTATTTCTACACCTCTTACAGAAGATTCCTATCAAATTTGAAGTCTATAGGAGCTATAGTTTAAAAACGGGAATTGTTCATTGTTAACGCTCCCGCAATCCCCTTTGGGGGATGAATTTCTTAAAATCCATTCTTAGCTGACCTCTACATATCAAAAGTAATATTCCTACAAAGTTTCACGTTTCAATGGTTCCCGAGATTTCGTGACCGATTTATTAGAAAAAAAAATTAATAAAATTTTTAATCTAAAAATAAAAATATTTAATTAATGCTGTAAGATGAACGGCGGAGTTTATAAGAAAATTTGTTTTTCATCAGTTATTTCATTCGGTATAAATGGGAGGTGCGAGGGAGTGTGTGAGTAGATTCTTAGCTGAATGTAAAAGAACATAATCCGTTTAATATACTCCGTTGAAATCCATAAAAACAAAATAATCAAGAGAAAATGCGTGTCTTTTGTTTTTATTAGTGGAATAAATGTTCATAAAAGTAAAACAGCAATAAAAAAATAAAGGAACGTTGGAATTCAAAAAATAAATAGCCATAAACCATCTAGGAAAAATTTCGCATCGAATGGTCGTAGTTTCATATCGATACGATCAGTGGTTTAGGCGTGATTGAGCCTCAAACGAAGACCATTTTCATTATATATATATATATATATATAAAATTTAAAAAAAATTATTTTAACGAATATCCTATGCCAACAAATTCATTACTCGAAAGGGGAATTTTTTTTATCATTGCACAATCATAGTTAAGTTTTTTATAATAATAATAAAAATATAACAAGGAGACTCATTAACGCATTACTTTAATGGTCAAGTACTGATGGCATAATTGGTTGGAAATTTTGAATCATTCGATTATCAATATTTCTTTGTTCTATTATTTTTGATAGATGATTTTTTACTACTACTATTCATCATATACATGTATATTGTTCTTATTGGTAATTTTGAAGAGAGTGGGAGATCGTAAAATAGTGTTTAGCTCGAGTTAACCTTGAAAACAACTGTATATAAACCAAATTTCATTATATGTAAAAACATAAGTCTCTTTTGTGTACAAGAATAAGCAACTGCTCGAAAGTTTGAAAAAATGTTAGCTCTTCACCTTGTAATATTTGTCTGCATTCAACTTATGTTGTCCAGTGTCAGCGCAGTAAGTCAATAATTCTCAACGTTTTAGAATCATGTGATAATTATTCACGCTCCAAATGGTATTAAAAATTATTTTTTCAGATATCTTACTCAAAGATCATTTACGCTGCAATCGAATGTGAGCAACCTTCGACTCGGTCATTTAAAAAAGAACAAAGCGGGATCGATTATTTTGTTTGTATGTTTCGGAAATTGAATGCGGTAAGGATTGAATTATAATAACTCTCAAAGATGTTCACATAACACGAAATATTTTTTGAGTTAGCTATGATATTTTGTCATGATTTTTCAACAGATAAACAGCGATAATTCCTTGAACGTGGAAGTAATTGAAAATATGCAGACGACGATCGCGCAATATTCTCCGCTAGGATTAAGCAAAAGTGATTTTCAAACGGCATTTCCCTCAATAGGATATTGTAGTTCGACAGCAAGTAAGTGCAATACTTCCTAAATAACTTGAAACTTTCAATATTATTGTATAAATATTACTAATAAAATCAGTTTTTTAATTTTCTTAATCCAAGTCATTTCAATATTTTCAGAAGGTAACACTGCCGAGGACAGTGTGAGGATGTACTTCCAATGTGTAAATAGTCTTCCCAGCTCTTTATCACTAATATCTAACAACGGACCATGAAAATGCCATTACTCATAACTACAGTTTTCTAGATATATCGTTGAAAACTTGACAATGAAGTTATGTTATTCAATGTTAAAATATGTCGATGTAAAACTTTAAAGTAATAAAGAGATTTCACTTATAAACAATTTCGACTATTAGTTAATTGATGATCCTGAATTGTAATGTATTTCATGCATGAAAAAAAAATTTTGATCTATGTACAATATTTCCAAATTAAGGCCACTTGTATAAGAACTCCAATCATTACATCTTCTGAAATATTGGTGAAAAATGTCTCGATGCGAAAAAACAAGGATCAGGTTTGGTTTTGGTACATCTGGAATAACACTCTAATTAAATGAAAAAAATGTAGTAAAAATAAACTCTCAACTTTATTTAAACACTTAATCCTAATATAAAATTGAGATGAAATGTATGTGGCATCAAACTATTCGTAACGTGATTGGTTGAATATATCATAAGCATGAAAATATATGCAAACTCTATAGTCAAAGCGCGCGCTTGCGCGCGTAAATTCAAATTCTAGTCCCATAATAAAATTGAGATGAAATGTATGTGAAACCAATTTATTCGTGATGTGATTGGTTGAAAATATTTATTCTCATTCTGATTGGTTGAAAGTGAATATAATATACATAAACGACACATAAATATATCATGACAATAAATATGAGGCGCGCGCTTGCCCGCGAAAATTAAATTCTAGTTATACAAAATTAACGTAGATGTAGCGGTACTTAAAATACAGAAGCTGAAAATTTACCACGCGGTCAGGGCGTGTTAGCGAAGCGGTCTTTTTCTGAAAGCAAATAATACAATAATTACTGCGAAATACTATTAAATATTAATCGGAATTACTATAATTAATTGTAGTTAATTGAATTAACACAAGAATATTGCTCGATGGCAAGTTCAAAGCGAATAATAAGCGGATAAGAATTTATAAAAAGCAAACAATGGCAATGCGATGCTGCACAAGAGCACGTGAGCGAATTAAATTAATTTTCTGATCATCTTCTTCGTCGTTTTGCATTTAGGCGCATTGCACATGTGCACGTGGCGGACAATCAATCAAATAATTGACAGGCGAAGTGGCGTGACCGCTAGCCAATGGGAAAATTCATAGCGTTTCGTTCAGTTGTGACGTCAGAGTAAGTTGATCTGCGACTGCGTCAATCAATTTAAATATCTATTTCCCCATTGGCTGCATTTAGCGGAAAATCGGGGAAGTCTCCTTAATTTAGCGGACCACCAGAATCGTGCTCATAACCGAACAATTGGAGTTAGCTCTTTAGTGCCTTTAGCTTTTTCGTCAGAAATTTCATAAATTACGAATTTGATGTTTTATGGTTTTTTATTGAAATCGATTTTTGAAAAGTTTTAGCGGCCTTTAGGAAAATAGTTCTTTTGATCTTTCATGAATACTCTTGCAGTATCTTTTAATTATTCCATTCACTATATCCATCGAAATATTAGAGCTAGCTCCTTAGTATCATGCTTCGTTTTCATAAAAATTTTATAATCTTCCGATCGCCTAAAAATTTAATCTAGAAACTGTATTTCTAAAGTTATAGCTACTTGTATAGGATCACTTCTTTTAATACTACATGATCACTCGTGAAGTTTCTTTCAATTCTTCTAATCACTACATCTTCTGAAATATTGAAAATTGCTTCTTAGTGTCTCAGAGTTTTTTGTTCGTAATTTTATGAGCTACGAATTTGATGGTTTATGATTTCTTATTGAAATCGATTTTCAAAAAGTTATTATGATGCTTTTAAGGAAATAGTTCTTCTAATATCTTCTGATTACTCGTGCAGTATCTTTTGATGATTCCAATTACTATATCCACCAAAATATTAGAGATAGCTACATAGTATTATGCTCCGTCTTCATAAAAATTTTATAATCTTTCCGATAGCCCTAGATATTGTTTTAGATACAATATTTCTAAATTTATAGCTTCTTGTACAGGATAACTTCTTTTGATACTACATGATCCCTTGTGAAGTTTCATTCAATTTATCGAATCACTACATTTTATGAAATATTATAGCTAGCTCCTTAGTGTCAAAAAGTGTTTTTTTAGAAATTTCATGAGCTCTGAATTTGATTATTTATGATTTTTTATTAAATTCAATTTTTAAAAAGTTATAGCAGCTATTAAGAAGATAGGTCTTCTGACATTACATGAATACTCGTGCAGTATCTTTTAATTATTACATCCACTATCTTCATCGAAATATTAGATAGCTACTTAGTTTTATGCTGTCTCTTGTTAAAAATTTAATGAGCATTTCGATCGCCTATGATTTTGCTTTAGAAAAAATATTTCTAAAGTTATAGCTAGTTGTATATGATCATTTCTTTTGATACTAAATGATCACTCGTGAAGTTTCTTCCAATTATTCCAATCACTACATCTTCCGAAATATTGGAGATAGTTGCTCAGTGTCTGAGGATTTTTCGCCAGAAATTTTATGTGCTACGAATTTGATGTTCTATAAGTTTTTATTTAAATCAATTTTCAAAAAGTTATGGCGGCTCTTAGGAAAATTGTTCCATTGATATCTCATGATTACTCGTGCAGTACCTTTTAATTACTCCAATCACTATATCCATCGAAATATTTGAGAAAGTTACTTAGTATTATGCTGCGTCTCCATAAAATTTTTCACCAGATTATCATGGCGACGGACTCGGTTCCACTTACTGCATTCTCCGTGGAGGGTAGGGGCCAGTTCGAATGCATGGTTACGCATGGCATATGGACTGGTCGATGCCCCGAGCACTTTCCAAAAGGCGATGGACTTCCTAAAGACAAGATTTTGCAAATATTTGGTCCAGAGAAAGCTTCCTCCGAGATAGGCCGAGAAAGTTTTTTCTTACCTAGATGACTGGATAGCCATCAGCAAAACTTTTAAAGAACACCTGTAAATTTTGTCTTTACTTTTTGAAGTCTTTCGGGAATTTGGCTTACTAATAAACCCGGAGAAATGCAAATTTTGTAGGAACATGGTAAAATTCGTGGGATTCGTGGTTAACGAAACAGGGTTATACCCGGATCCTGAAAGAATATAGCTCCAATTATCAACTTCCCAACCCCCACTAACAAAAAACAGCTGAGAAGTTTCTTAGGGTTGGTAAATTGGTATCATCGTCATCTAAAAAACGTAGCTAAGGCTCAAGTGCCTTTAAATAAATTGACCGGTGCCAATTCGGAATGGAAATGGGGACCTGAGGAAGAATTAGCTTTTCAAGAGAAAAAAAATTACGCTTGACCTGGGTGTTTGAGTACGCTCCCCCAAGAGTCTTTGATCAACGATGGTTCCGGGGTTCACTGTGGTACTCGATGTCAATGTACCTCGGCCTCTTCCAAAAGAAACTCGACGAGAGTCAATTTCTGGCTCTTCAAGGAGTCCTTGAGACCTAGTTCTCGGTCCAGTTGGTGGAATCATTGTGATTTTGACTAATTACTTGGTTCGAAAATAAAACAAAAATTCAATAAAATTTTTCCGCAAAATAAATTCCAAGCAATTAATTTAGTTATTTATAATTAAGCCAATTAAATTTGTTCAATGTAAAAAATTTCAAAATTATAAATTTCTGAATTATAATAGTATAATAAATTTCAAAAATAAATTTCTGAAGAGGAAAAAGAAATCACAAATTTCTAAAATAATAATTTTTCGGAATATAAATTCAGAATAAAATTTAAGAATAAAAATAAATTTCAGACTAATTCAAATAAATTTCAAAGAGAGAAAAAAAAATTTTACTAATTTCCGAAAAATAGATTCCAAAAATTTAATTTAAAATAAAATAAAATAAATTTCCGAAGAGAAAAAAAAAAAAATTATAAATTTCGAAGTAATAAATTTTCGGAATATAATTTTAGAGTAAGTCTTTTAAAATAAGTTTCAAAAAAAATAAAATTTCAAAATTATTAATTTTCGAAATATAAATCCAAAATAAATTTCAAAAAAAAAATAATTTTTTGAAATAAAATTCCAACATAAATTTCAAAAATAATTTTCAAAAAAAAATTTCAATCAAATTTTAAAATAGTTGGATTCGGAATAAAATCTTTTTAAAATTTTTGAAAAACAATTTTATAAATTTCAGAAATATAAATTTTCGGAATATAAATTCAACATAAATTTCCAGAAAATCAATTTCCAAAAAAAATAAATAAATTCCAACACGGTTCAATTCCAAAACAAAAAAAAAATTTTTTTGAAGACAAAATCCAGAAAATAAACTTTGGGAAATTAAATAAAACAAATTTTCGAAAAGTGAAAAACAACAAGAGAAAAAAATAAATTTTTTTTTTAAAAATAATACTAGAGTATATATTTTGAAAATTGTTAAATTTTCAAATCGAATTCCCAATGCAACTGGTGAGAGTGAATTACCACAAGAGAAAAAAATTATTTTTTTTTTTTTTTAAATGAAAATTTAGAGACAAAAAAAAAGAAATTATTAATTATAACACTCAGTTTTTCTTTTAATTATAAGTTATATTAAAAATAGAATTTTAATGAAAATGTAATTTCTTGGTTAAATTTCGAAGGATAGTTATTCAACCAAACGATCGATTAGTTTTCAAACTAACCCCCGAAAACGGAAATCAAACTTCCAAAAAAAAAAATTTTTAAATTCAGAAAATATTTCCAATTGGAGAACAAAAAAAATTTTTTTTTTTCGAACTAAACTTCCAACTGTCAAAAAACAATAATTCAAAAATTATTTTAGGTTAATTTTCAATTATAATTTAATTTAACAAATAACAATTTATATTTAAAACAACCTGATAATTATTATTATTGTAAATTCATTACTTTTGCTTTGTCATGTCGTCCGGGATGATACCTCTACTCTAAATTTCAATATTATACGTTAATCAACGATCATCATCAATTAATTCACTGTTAAAATTGTTTTTTGAAGATTCTTAATTGATTATTTAAAAAAATTTTAATAAATTATCGTATAAAATATATCTTTACCATGGCTTTGGATTGAGTTTTTTCGTTGGCGCTAAATTTTATCACGCGGTCAAAAAATAAATAAAAATAGCTCATGAAAATTAATCTAGCAGACATTTGATAATTTTAAAAATCTTTTTGATAAATAAATTATGGCAAATAAGTTATAATTAAAAATTGACATGCAGAAATTTTTAAAAATTAAAAATGCAATTTTTTAAAAATTATTTTCCGGAAAAAGTTTATTTGTCAAAAAAAACTAAAACATAATCAAGTGACTGCTAACTTTGATGTGATAAATAGCTTTTTTTTTTTATAATGACATTTAATTGTGATATTATTATATGCAAGTTGTTTCTAAGTATAAGATGAAGGAAGTAGTGCATAAGTGTGTTAGTGAGTAGTGATTTGTTGGTGGTATAGCAACAGCAACATGTTAATTTTCCTCTGCTAGTCTCCTAATTTTTTAACTTAAAGGTAAATAAATTTTATGCGTATAAAGAATATAAAAATTATTTCCCTGATAATAAGCATAAGAAAATTTATTTCATCTGTTTTCAGGAGTTCAGTTTTGGAACGTTCAGAAAATCTTGATATGGTAAGTCAGAAATAATAACTGCTTAAGTATTCTATTAAATTTAACAGACATCAGATTATTTTTTCAAAATTAAATTTAAAATACAAATTAGCGTTCAGATAATTAAAAAAAAAAAATGTTGTCCATAGTTTTTTTTTTTAACTTCAATATATTAAATTGTTTTTAAAATTTTCTTTATGATAATTTTTTTGTTGAAAAATTCCGACTTATTTTCGGGGGACTGGTAATTTTAGTTTTATAAAATTTTACTTGCACTTAGGGCCAGTTTTTCAATCCAGGATAAAATTTTATCCAATGATAAAATATGTCTATATATTCCATATATATAAAAATATACTAGCAATAATAATAAAACTTTTAACCTGGATTGAAAAACTGGACCTTAATGAACATCAATTAAAAATAATCTGAAAATTGCATACACAAATTACAAAAAATTTTCAAAAATATATTTGTAATTCTTTATTTTTATACTATGCTACTTAATTAAAAAAAAAAAAAAAAAAAAACGAAACAGTCATTGAACGCTATTATCTCTATTATAAACAAAAGTATATTTTCTTGACATATTTTTCTCAACAATTAGTCAAATTATTTAAACTATATTTAGTAAAAAACAAATAAAAAAAAAAAAAATTTTTAAATTCAGAAAATATTTCCAATTGGAGAACAAAAAAAATTTTTTTTTTTCGAACTAAACTTCCAACTGTCAAAAAACAATAATTCAAAAATTATTTTAGGTTAATTTTCAATTATAATTTAATTTAACAAATAACAATTTATATTTAAAACAACCTGATAATTATTATTATTGTAAATTCATTACTTTTGCTTTGTCATGTCGTCCGGGATGATACCTCTACTCTAAATTTCAATATTATACGTTAATCAACGATCATCATCAATTAATTCACTGTTAAAATTGTTTTTTGAAGATTCTTAATTGATTATTTAAAAAAATTTTAATAAATTATCGTATAAAATATATCTTTACCATGGCTTTGGATTGAGTTTTTTCGTTGGCGCTAAATTTTATCACGCGGTCAAAAAATAAATAAAAATAGCTCATGAAAATTAATCTAGCAGACATTTGATAATTTTAAAAATCTTTTTGATAAATAAATTATGGCAAATAAGTTATAATTAAAAATTGACATGCAGAAATTTTTAAAAATTAAAAATGCAATTTTTTAAAAATTATTTTCCGGAAAAAGTTTATTTGTCAAAAAAAACTAAAACATAATCAAGTGACTGCTAACTTTGATGTGATAAATAGCTTTTTTTTTTTATAATGACATTTAATTGTGATATTATTATATGCAAGTTGTTTCTAAGTATAAGATGAAGGAAGTAGTGCATAAGTGTGTTAGTGAGTAGTGATTTGTTGGTGGTATAGCAACAGCAACATGTTAATTTTCCTCTGCTAGTCTCCTAATTTTTTAACTTAAAGGTAAATAAATTTTATGCGTATAAAGAATATAAAAATTATTTCCCTGATAATAAGCATAAGAAAATTTATTTCATCTGTTTTCAGGAGTTCAGTTTTGGAACGTTCAGAAAATCTTGATATGGTAAGTCAGAAATAATAACTGCTTAAGTATTCTATTAAATTTAACAGACATCAGATTATTTTTTCAAAATTAAATTTAAAATACAAATTAGCGTTCAGATAATTAAAAAAAAAAAATGTTGTCCATAGTTTTTTTTTTTAACTTCAATATATTAAATTGTTTTTAAAATTTTCTTTATGATAATTTTTTTGTTGAAAAATTCCGACTTATTTTCGGGGGACTGGTAATTTTAGTTTTATAAAATTTTACTTGCACTTAGGGCCAGTTTTTCAATCCAGGATAAAATTTTATCCAATGATAAAATATGTCTATATATTCCATATATATAAAAATATACTAGCAATAATAATAAAACTTTTAACCTGGATTGAAAAACTGGACCTTAATGAACATCAATTAAAAATAATCTGAAAATTGCATACACAAATTACAAAAAATTTTCAAAAATATATTTGTAATTCTTTATTTTTATACTATGCTACTTAATTAAAAAAAAAAAAAAAAAAACGAAACAGTCATTGAACGCTATTATCTCTATTATAAACAAAAGTATATTTTCTTGACATATTTTTCTCAACAATTAGTCAAATTATTTAAACTATATTTAGTAAAAAACAAATAAACAAAAATTTCTATTCTCACCTGTCAAAAAAATAACAAAAGAATACCACCGTGACATGTGTCACTAAATTTTGTATTCATATATCTTTAAATTATTTATTATTTATTAAAATAATGTCAGATGACATTGATAGTTGTTATACAAGCGATTCAGATATAGGATTTAGACAGTTGGATACTTTAGAATCACCTGGATCAAATAATAATGAGAGCAATTCTCCCTATAATATATCAGTATTATTACCGGTAGTACGTATAATACTGGTGATTTTCTTACGCATCGGATTTACATTAGTGCAGATTGGCAGCGTGCCTATAACCAACGTAAATTTAATCCTGCTTCAAAATATCGTTGATTTTTGTTGGGTAAGTCTCGTCTACATTATCCTAGGATCAGTGATAGCTTACACGGGTGATATAGTCGGTGTCGTGGGAGGGGGTCATTGGATAGGCGACAAAGTAGTGAACAAAGAAGAAGCAGTAATCGGATGGCAAGCGATAATGATTGCTTCTTCAATAGCAACAACCTGTATGATCGGTCGTACCCATACAATAGCATCTATTATCATCGGAATAGTTCTCTCGGGTATTGTGCAACCGTTTATTATTCACTGGACCTGGACAGCCAAGGGCTGGATGTCATGGAACTCGCTTCGTGGTCAGCAAGTGCCATTTCGTGACTTCGGCGGGTCAACTGTTGTCCATATCGTTGGAGGTCTCACCGGGCTTATTGGCTGCTCAATATTAGGAAGAAGGATTATCAAGCTTCGTGATATGGACAAAGCTAGCATTGCGATTGGATCTGTTGGTACAACATTTATTGGTCATTTATTTATCATCTTAGGGCTTCAGGTTTTTATAAAAATAAATTTATTACTTAAAACTTTTTGTTTCGTAATAAAATCTGATGATAATTCCATTTTCAGAGTCTATTTTTCAATAATAAAATAGAAGACAACGGCAGATTAATGAGCAAGTGGTTATCCCGGATATTTATCAACAATTTATTGACAGTATCAATGTGTGCCCTTGTGACGATAGTTCTTCACTTTCTAATGCGAGATCCATTCAATCACTGGACAGTAATGAGATGTATTCAAGCAGTCACTGCAGGTGTTGTTGTTATTTCAGCTGGCGTTGACATTTACACACCTTCAGTTGCTCTAGCTATTGGTTTTGTCGGAGGAATCCTATTTTATCTTGTCACAAAAGCTATTTTTAAAACCCCGTTGGAGGATTACTGTAATATCATTGCTATTCACGTTGTCTGTGCTCTTATGGGTAACTTTGTCGCCCTATTTTTCTACGGAGCTTCTCACGAATCTTATGGATACTCGGTTCTTTTGCTTGATGCACTCTGGCATCTTATCTGCATAGTTTCTATTATTTCATTCGTTTCCGCAACTGTCACGCCGATGTTTTTAATACTTGACTGCCTAGGACTGCTCAGGAATAGGTCTGAATACTTGAATCACTTGAGGTCTACTGTTGCGCAAGAGCGAAGACATAGGTATTTTAGTTTCAATTATTCATCGTTTTTTATTTCATTTTTCGGGTGATATTTACTATATCGTTAATTTTTATGTAGATCTTTTGGTGAAAGATTGTTTCGTCTTGACTCTGAGACAGTTTTTATTCAACCTGGGCAGTTGAATAATCAAGAATTTCAAACCGAGTCAGTACCTAGACCCTCAAGAATTGAAACGGTGGCGCGAGTTGAAATTCCTGATCAAAATCTTACTACCCAAAATGTTTTTAACAATAATTTTGAAACATTTAAAGGTAAATTTGAATTATTAATTGAGCAGGGTTGTAATTTTTTTAAAAAACAAAATTAATTTTTTAATTAGACTCGATTGTAGAGCAGAAATTGAGAAAAGCTCGACAAGTTCATACAATTAGTTCAGCAACCGACACAGTAGAAGTAGATCATGGTAGTTACAAAACTTTTGTGATTGGAGACCATAAAAAAATAAATGAAACCATCATTGGAAGTAAAAACTTAACCACGCCAACAATTACCTACGAGCTAATAAATGTTAACGATTATTACAACAATAATAGTTTACAAAGTTCACCTAAAGTTATTGAGCAGAATCTTTCGTATAAACTTCATAGAACTTTAAATTCTTTGGATTTAAAAAACGATAGTGTTATTCAAGACGGTGTTAAAGTTAATGTACTTGTTGAACCGCAATTTTGTTCTTGTGTAAACAGTGATTCTGAAGATGATGATTACTCGAATTCATTTAATAAAAAATCATTTGATGAGAGTCAAAACATCAAGCTAGCCATGACTGGTGACAATCAATAATAATAATAATCATAATAGTAATGGGGATAATAAAATTGACAATTTATTTTCTTATTAATTTTTTTTTATCGCTCTCACATTTTTTATTTATTTGGATGACAATATTTTACAATTGAGTATCGTTAGTTAAATAATCATAGGTTTCAATTAATAGTTGTTTTTTTTAAATAAATATTACAAAAATGAATGATTTACATTGCTTGTTTGGATTTATTACGCTAATTTCTGATCTTATTAACAGGTAATGATGATTTCCATGGTTGTATTATTATTGTAAATAATTGTGATAACTAGATGCATTTAATTAATTGAATATATTTTTCATCAAGTTATAGATCGAAAAAAATAATTTACATCGATTGAATCTTTGATATTTAACAAACGATTCTTGAGGGTTCAATACAAGAGACTTATAAATACATAATTAATATATATAACATATTTAATGCATATTTATATTTATATATATAGTTTATATTTATAATATTTACAACACTGATTTAAATGGCACGATTGACGAGGTTAATTTAACAAAAAATTAACCGTCGACAACAATAAACTTTGTACAATCATTAAACATTTTTTTTAGTCATTACTTTTCTTTCATTTATATGAATATTTACTTATTTATTTATATAATTTATAAATATATATTCATTTAAAAAAACGTTCAGACAAAAAAATTTACAAACGTAACAATAATAATTAACTGGATTTTATTTTTTAATTATTATCAAAACGTCAATATGGCGGGATTTTATTAGAACTGACTAAACTTAAAAACTTAATTTACAATTTCGTTAATATTTCATTACATCAACATGATCTTTTATAAATATTTACTAGAAATAAATGGAGTTTAAAAAATTAAATACAAAAAAATCTTATCTTTGGACTGTACAATGGACGTTTTTAAACCGTTGAAAATTTCCTTTTCAACATAATTAATTAATATCTTATTTTTACATTAATATATTTATAGTTAATTTACCTAGGAACGAAAAAATAGCTCCAATATAATTGATATTATCAATAGTCGAAAATCCACAATTTTGCAATTTGTATACAACTATTTAGTCACATAAAAAACATTATAACAATTTAATAGACATCAATATTGACATTCGACTATTATGCACATTGCAGTAATTTACATAAGCGGTAATATCCGCATTGGTTTTCATAATTGTCACAGTTATAATCAATATTGTCAAAATATACATTATTTGTGGTCATTATTTTCAAACATTTACATACTCAGTAGCTGCAGCAATTATAACTATTATATATATATATATATATATATATATATATATATATATATATATATATATTATAATTTCATCTATCTATGACAACGACCGCGTAAATAAATGTCAATCATTACATTTTAAAATGTACAAAAAAATCTCAGTACAGTCATAATTTAATTTGATACATTTTTAAACCAATAATGTATTCTAATAACATGATTTTCAACTTAAAGGTTAAATCTTAAATAGTACAATAATTAAAAAAAATCTTTTTTACAATTAAACGATAATAAACAATATCTCATTATTAATATTATACAATTATTTTCAAATCTTGCAACTTGATGTCAGTAAAAATTGACGTTTTAGTCTTAATAGTCAGGTAAAAAAAATATAAAAAAAAAAAATGGCACTTGCAATGTACGTACGTTAATTACACACCATTGATCGCAATAACATTAAAGTCTGTTGATTACAATTACTATTATTACAATGATGTAAATCGCGCGATAAACATTAATTGTTTAACTAACTATCGGCATACATATAGGTATGTACATGAAGGTAGATTATTTACTGATTCAGTCACCGTATTACTGACTAGGTATTTGACCAACGTGTCGAAGCACACAGAGTTTAATCATTTGACCTGTTCGTTTAGATATGCCAGCAGTATTTTAACGCACACATAGAGCTAGCACTATTCCCGGTGCTTTAATCAACCAATAGATTCATTGAATTTGGTAGAGTTTATTTTATTGTGATAAAAACGATAGTAAAAATTGAACTTTTGTTTGATTTATTATCACCGGGTGATAAAATTAAAAGTCTCAGAAATAGAGGGTAGGGTGAACCACGAGTAATCAGTAGTCGACGTTTGCTAGGTCATCACAGTATCCGTGAGATCGTCCTTTAACCATTGTGGTATGGTCCGTGAGCCGAGTCGTTTAAGGAGCTTAACTAATGCCGTATTGTGAGATAGATAATACCTCTGCAACAGTTTGTACGACCTATCTTCCATCGGGGGATACTGACGACCTTTACTTTTGCCGAGGCACTTTGTATGATCTTCATTAGTGACTTGACAAAAGAATCCTTTTTTTGGGTCATATCTCAAGTGAGTTGAGTAATTAAACGCCGGTGTTATTTTCAAAAATCGCTGTAGCTCGTGCAACGTTTCAACGGGATTCTGGCGCAATTGTTCCCCGTCAATAATGTGCAACTGCTGAGGCAAGTAGTACGACAGCCACCGTTCCAAGTGCTGAGCATATTTACCGGGGTTTAAGCATCTGTTGCGAAGATCACGTAGCGGTTTTGGAGCGGTGTCACTTGCCGTTATCACCGCATGAAAGCTGTAGTTGTTTGCCACCGGATCACCATGAGCACGCGTATGCTGATACCACGAGTACGCTCTTCTGGCTGGTGATAGCAGAATCGTTACAAGTTTCGCTTTTGGTAGAAGCGCGTGAGCTCGTCGTGGCACTAACTCCCCGTCAAAATATGTCGCTGATTTTTCAAACAAGTACCGCGAGCTTTCGTTTTTTGACGCTGGGAAGAAACTCATGTACCTGAAATAAATTATCTATATTATTAACAGAATAAGCAAAATTTTGTGGCCAGTGTATTTATATGATAAAATGGGTTTTTATAGTTAAATTTGGTATCGTTGGAAAAGTCTTGACTTGGAGTTGTGCCTTTTTATGGTTTTATATTATTCTCACCAATAGTCAATTTATGATGATAAGTATTTAGGCTGCGTTCGAAAATGCTCTATCTCTAAATACATAGTTAAGAAATGACCTTGTATCTTGTGAACTATTGATATTTTTAAAGATATAAGCTCACCCCG